GGCCCCCCCGGGCGGTTTCTCGGCGGGGGGGGGGGGGGGGGGGACCTCCAAGAGGCCTCCCATGGCGGCGGGGAAGGCAAATACAATAATCTACTTATTTTAGCTCTTCTATCACAATTACAAAATTAGTTAATTATATGTTGCCAATTTTTTATTTCTGCCTGCCTCCCTTCCTTATTTATACTAGTAACATCCACCAAAAAATAATAACAACTTTGTTAAAATCTTCATTTTATACAGTGCAATTTGATCAAACCAGGTTCTTTCCACATACAGTACTCCTTTAATATATTTTGAAATATTTAGCCTAAGACTTGAGAAGTTAGTTTCAAATTTTACTCATACCAGGCGGGTCCCTGCAAATGTAGCAGATGTACTGCTCGGGAATGCTGTCTTCAAACAATCCCATACACACACTGTGTTGCCAGCACAGGCATTCTTCACACTGTGATGATGACAAAGAAATAACAGTGCATGAAATGGGGAAAACACCTGTTCAAACAGTTGCAAAAGTCAAAGCACAGGAGACATTAATTTCTATGCTAAGGAGTCATATGAAAAGAAACTAAAGCACCACATTCAGGACGTCATGTAAAAGGGTGCTGTGTAACTGAAACAGAAAGGGAAGCTCACTGTGGAGCTGGGTCTCTCTCTCTCTATATATATATAGTACAGAGACCAGCCACATGTACAGTGGTGCCTCGCATTATGACGTTAATTCGTTCCAGCGAAATCGCTGTAGAATGAAAACGTCGTAATGCGAAAATAAAAAGCCCATTGAAACGCATTGAAACCCCTTCAATGCGTTCCAATGGGCTGGAAACTCACCGTCCAGAGAAGATCCTCCATAGAGAAGCCATTTTCTGTGGCTGTCTTGTGAGGAATCCATCCCAGAAAACAGCGGGGAGCCATTTTATTTACCCAGTGAAACAGAAAGCTCACTTTGGAGTTGGGTCTCTCTCTCTATAGTACAGAGACCAGCCACATATACAGTGGTGCCTCGCATTATGACGTTAATTCGTTCCAGCGAAATCGCTGTAGAATGAAAACGTCATAATGCAAAAATAAAAAGCCCACTGAAACGCATTGAAACCCCTTCAATGCGTTCCAATGGGCTGGAAACTCACCGTCCAGAGAAGATCCTCCATAGAGAAGCCATTTTCTGTGGCTGTCTTGTGAGGAATCCATCCCAGAAAACAATGGGGAGCCATTTTATTTACCCAGCGGCCATTTTGAAACCGCCGATCAGCTGTCCAAAAATCATCATTTTGCGAAGAATCGGTTCCCGAAGCAGGGAACCGATCATCGCAAAGCAAAAAAAACTCTATTCAGACCATCGTTTTGCAATTGCGAAAACATTGTCATAATGTGGTAACCCAGGTATTCTTGAAACTGCAATTTGTCAACCCCTCCCACCAGGCATCCATATGGGTCATCCCAGTAACCCCAAATTGGATGATGCTCAGAGAGTCCTTTTGTGCCCATTAGAATGCATGAGGGGCAATTTTTCATGTTTTAGGAGGTCCCCAGCACCCCTGTTCACTACACCTTAAACCTCTTATTAATTTGTGTGTGTTTTTTAAAAAAAACATACAAATTGTCACTATAAAGCAGTGGTTCCCAACCTTGGGTAACCCAGGTATTCTTGAAACTGCAATTCTCAGAATCCTTCACCACTAGCTGTGCCTGTTGGGGTTTCTGGAAGTTGCAGTCCAAGAACACCCTTGGGTGCCCCAAAGATGAGAACCACTCCTATAAAGTATTCTGGTCAAAAATAGTCTAATGATCTTAGCATTTCCATTTGTTTTTAATTCTTCCTATGTCTCAAAAACATGTCCGTAATTTTAAATTGTGCCATGCTCTGATACGAATAAAGAAAGAAAGCAAGATAATGCAACCCCAATTTTGTAAGAAAAACTTTTGAGGGCAGGATTTGTAAGAAATATGGGTAAAATATTTTAAATGAATGAATGAATGAATAAATAAATGTCCTACTGTTTGGCAACTTTCAACTGACTGTTGCTTTTTCCATACAAGAGCCAAAAACTACACGAGGGGAACGCTGGCTATTTTAATGCAGAGTGAAGGTCTATGGTGCACATGTATTTTGGCACATCAGGCAGAAAAATCTCTCAAGTCCCCTCTTTCCATTTCTAGTAAGAAAAGCACAAGTGCCAAAATTAAATAACTGACATTTTTTGACACTGAAAACCTGCTGGCTGATAGTTGCCATATCCCCTTTTTTAGAGCAATCTACAAAAACTGAATTAAGATACGCCGTTAAGTTAAAGCAGCCCATGCCCTAATGGCAGTATAAGTTATTTCTAAAGCCATTGCAGAAGCAAGTTCTAGAGATATGTGAAAAAGAACAAGACTCCTTACCTGAATCATGAAGCCATTTTCTTCATCCATTTCGCAGATACACCTGACAATTTCATTGAGAGTATCTTCTTCATCCTGAGATTCTTCAAAATTGGTTGAATCAAAGTCCTGATGATATTCATCTCCACTCAGCAGCAAACTCTCCGTAGAAGAGTCATCCAAGAACTCCATATCAGAAAGGTCTGAAATCCAGAAGCAGGATAAATAAATGAAGGTATAAAATCGGTAGGTAGCACAGGATTTACAAATGAAATAAGGAGATTTTGTCCAGAGCAGTCTGCAGATGGCATAACAAGTATTACTGTAACAAAAAGCCTGATTTGTGCTTGCCAACCACATGGTTCTTGACACTGGGGGCACCTGGGAAGAAGCTACGGCAAATGACCTTGGCAATCATGTTGGTTCAAGTGGGAGCAATAGGTTGTTGAATGCTAACCTGACTTATGATTATTTTAAGACTTGCTATACACGAAGTAAGCTAGCTGTGTCTGGCTAGAGTCAGAGACCTTGAATCTGATTCTCCACTATGCTTCCTAAGAACAGAGTTCCCTGTGTAGTCTTAGGCAAGCTGCACAGGGCGCTTTCAGAAAAAGGATAAACCACTTCAGAGTGTCCTATACCTAGAAAATTCCGGGAAGGTTCACCATGAGTCAGAATCAACAAGACAACACATAATTCTTATTAATTATATACACATCATTTCCCTCTCCCTTCTCTCATAAATCCATTAAATTGTGTCTTTCGAATTCTTAATGGGAACGTATTTTGTACTAAAAATAAAGAGCAGGAAAGAAACAAAGTTCTTATAAATTTACTGGGAATAGAATAAACTACAGAAATTAGGAATCACATCTGAACAAACTGAGAGCTTGAGATGAGACAGGCAATGAGTTTCTCATGTAGATTCAAGCAAGCAACTGCCAAGGGAGCTGTGGCCTTTAGATCTGACTTTTTTTTAAAAAAAAAACATTGGCTAAACAGGCACACATATATATCATGAAAGAACACGACGGTCAACTTGAGATGGGGATATTTGTATTCGTATACGAATATCCCCATCTCTACCGTCAACAGTCACTGGAAAAGGTAATAATGCTGGGTAAATCTGAACACAGCAGAAAATGAAAATGAAACATGAAATGTATTGACTCAGCAGAGGAAGCCACAATCTTTACTTTGCAGGATCTGAGCAGGGCTGTTAAAAATAAGATATTTTGGAGGTCTCAGAGGTCATAAGATTGCCATAAATTGGAAGTGATCTAACACTACATAAAAACAACAATCGGCAGATGTCTTCAGTAGTTATTACTTCATTTTATTTTTTTTTAATTGAAGGTCAAATCTACTGTGAAGCGACAGAATATCGTAAGAGGACAGCAAACCTACTTTCGCCACTAAGGTCGACAGACAGAATAGCCCTTGGATATTGACAAGATGTGTTCTTCTCTGTCACTGTGCTTCGTAGTGTCAAAGAACTCCCCGAAGACCTGGTGAGTGGAGACGAGCACCTGTCCAAATACTCGAGAGAACTATCTTCGAAATCTGAATAATCTGTAAAACAGTAACATGCAGAATATGGCTACACGGTACGATTCACCAAGAATGTCCTTCAAATTTTTTTGAAGGGCCCCAAAGACATGAGATAACAACAGAATTAACTGGTTTGATAGGAATTGGCACTTCCTTCTAGTTTCTTAACATGACAAACAACGATTAGTTACTTTAAACTCAGCCACGCGTAAATGGTGCTGAAGTGATTCATTATGTTTGCAGAATAGCATCAACCCATAAACAATCTCAAAACTCTGGGCATATTTAGAGAAGCAGGTGTCTTGTGCTTCCTTTTTCAGATTTCAGGTGACAACGTGTGTTAATATGGTGCTTTACTGACATGTGAGCCATACCGAGTCCCTTCACCCGGAGAAAGGCAGCATTAAAAAAAGCAACAAATACATTATTAAAATAAATAACTTCCACACTGTCACCGTCAGAGTTACGAGAGCCAATTAATTATCTGTAGAACTGAAACAAAATGTCACTAATCAGGTGTGCAAATGCCTTGTTAACAAATTAACCTGATTCAGAAGCAACTGACGTAAGGTTTCACTCATGTAAATGTGCCAAATTGGTTTCACAAGATGGTTTAGCCTCACCAAAAGGCAAAATGGGCAGGTGAAACCGCTGAGATGGTTAGGAGCAGCCCACTGCTATTCAAAGAGTAAATATTAAAGAACACATCCTTGACTAAGCCTGCCTATGTAATACACACTGACCAACCAGGTGCTGTACTTCCACACCAAGACACAAAGCTGAAGTATACTTCAATTAATAAGCGGCACATAAGCAAAGCTAACAAAGCAAACCATTACATTAGTAAGTTCAAGTTGTATTTAACATCTGTAACACATGCAAACAAACAGCGTATTAGCAATTGTCTGGAGGCGCAGACAGAAAAACCAGAGGGTCTTCCCCTCTGAATCTCACGCATTCAAATTGTACCATGTTGTTTTGATTTCTTCTTCTTTTTCTTCTTCTTCTTCTGTTTGGACTTATGATCCTTTTCCTTCTTTTCTTTTCTTTCTTTATCTTTCTCCTTCTTTTTACCTACATTGCAAATTGCAATGAATGTTATTAAACAAAGGATAATAGACAAAAATAAAATTCAATTGGTTGTCAAAATGAGGTCAACCCCTCGCTGAGCATGGAACTGTATCGTTAATTATTTAAGTGCTAAATAAGCACTTTTAATTTTTACATGTTAGAGGCAGCAGAGAGGTAGAGGTTTAAAAACAATCTTAAACCAAGCACTGGTATTGGGGAAAAAATCTACAAGATCAGTGAAACTGAACAACTGTGACACTAAGGATGGTAAGAATTCCATATCTATTGTTTCAGAATGAGCATGGCCAGCTTCTGACAAAATCTTCTAAACATAAAAATAAAGGAAAGCACCATGTCAACAACGTTCTTTTCCTGATATGAGTATCAAGCCTTATTCTAATTTCTCTTACCCTTTTTATTTCAATGGCAACAAACATTAGAGATGGGAACAAACCACCAGTTTCAGCGCTTTGTACTGGTTCGTTTTTCATCCAAAGAAGGGTTTGGCGTTTCCCTGCCCCATTTCCTCTAGTGAGCAACCACGAATAGAGGAGGAAGGGCTTGTCGTTGTTGTTTAGTCGTTTAGTCAGGTTTGGCGTTTCCCTGCCCCATCTCCTCCAGTGAGCACCCACGAAGAGAGGAGGAAGGGCTCGTTGTCGTCGTTTAGTCGTGTCCGACTCTTCGTGGCCCCATGGACCAGAGCACGGCAGGCCCTCCTATCCTTCACCGCCTCCCGGAGTTCCGTCAATTTCATGTTGGTTGCTTCGCAGACACTGTCCAGCCATCTCATCCTCTGTCGTCCCCTTCTCCTCTTGTCTTCACACACAATATAGGGATAACCCCTATGAAATATTGATTCAGCCCAAAGAGGTGGGACTAAGAAAGAGAATAGCAGTGAGTAATTCTCTTTGAATCTCAGAATCTTTGAATTCTGAGATTCTCTTCTGAATCTCAGAAAGAGCAGGAGAGCTGAAGCTCGAGCTGATGTTGCCAGTTGAACTATTAAAGCTCTTGCCAACTTGGTTTAGGCATAATCATGTGTACATGTCAGAGAGGTGAATCTACATAGTGAATTCATGAATTGCATATCATTGTATTGGTATTTTATTTTAGGGGTTTGAAGATTCTCTTGTCTTATAGATACCCAACCCAGTTGAGGAAGGTATCTTGGATTTTGGTCTAACTTTGAAATCAAAGGGGCACTTGAACTGTGCAAATTCTACAAGCAACTTTTGCATTGGTACTGCCGCCAAGGACTTGGGTGCATAAATTGCAACATGTTGTTCTTATAATTGTTCATGTTGTATATTATATGAATGCAAATAAGAAGAGACTTGTTTTGTAAAATTGTGTTTCAAAATTTATCAATAGTATGCAAATAGCCCCATAGAACTTAAAAATGTAACATAGTCGATTTTTATCAAATTCATCAGGAGAACATTTTTCAGGCTACATAGTGGTATGTCAACATAACTCATATAGTGTGCACTTCACATTGTAGTGTGCAAGTCTATGTATGTTAAAGTAATAAATACATTTAGTGCTCTAGAAGCAAGCCCACCCTTTGGCTTGAAGCTCACCTGTGTTTCCTACACATGAGAATGCTTCTGTTTGAAATGCCAGAATGCTCTTGCAGATGGTTTGAATTTTTGTTGTTTAGTCGTTAAGTCGTGTCTGACTCTTCGTGACTCCATGAACCAGAGCATGCCAGGCCCTCCTGTCGCCCCCACTGCTTCCCGGAGTTGGGTCAAATTCATGATGGTCACTTCGATGACACTCTCCAGCCATCTCGTCCTCTGTCGTCCCCTTCTCCTCTTGGCTCCACACTTTCCTAACACCAGGGTCTTTTCCAGGAAGTCTTTTCTTCTCATGAGATGGCCAAAGTATTGGAGCCTCAGCTTCAGGATCTGTCCTTCCAGTGAGCAGGAGGAGCTCGCACGGCTGTTGGCTCCCGGGATCCCGTTCGGCGCGCCCTGAGACGAAAGCACTGCCATGAAGGGCGAAGCTCTGCTTTCTCCCTACTGCATTCTGCTCTGCTGAAGGGATGTTTTTTCGCGCCCTCGGTAAGCTTACCCAGGGCGCGAGTAGGGTAATAGGGCTTATTTTCGGGGGAGGGCTTACTTTAGAGGAATCCTACAAATTAAGGGGAGGGCTTACTTTCGGGATAGGTCTTATTATCGGAGAAACACGGTATTTTAGTGATCCAATAAAAGGTATCACCCGGGCATCACTGTGCAATCTTTAGGGACCACACAACCTTTTCGTTGTTCTCCTGAATTATATCAAAACATTCTACCCTTGCTTTTCTCCTTACTAAATTTTGCATGTATTTGAAAACTGCCAGTTTTTCTGTTGCCACCCAGAAGAGTGAAGATATATACAGTGCTTTGCCAATGTATCATGCTACATTCAAGAATGTGTTACAAACTGTCAAAGACAAAATCCACACATAGTAACTATGATTTTCCTCCTCATTTTCCAGGTTTTGAAAATCCTGGAGAAACTTCATGGTTGGAGAAAATGTTTCTTCAGAAAAAATCATATTCTATGGGCCAAATTCAGTGAAAACGTGTGAGAGAAGGCCAGGGCTAGCATGATTCTCCCCTCTCCTCCTTGGCTTCTTCAATTTTTAGTGATGTCTAAAATGGGCTACTGTGTTCCTCTAATGCCACACTGTTTTATTGTTCTTGAATATGAAGAGGGACGTGGTGGCGCTGTGGGCTAAACCGCAGAAGCCTGTGCTGCAGGGTCAGAAGACCAAGCAGTCGTAAGATCGAATCCACATGACGGAGTGAGCGCCCGTCGCCTGTCCCAGCTCCCGCCAACCTAGCGGTTCGAAAGCATGCAAATGCAAGTAGATAAATAGGGACCACCTTGGTGGGAAGGTA